ATGGAGCCACGAACCGTGTAGTTAAGGGGTGTGCCGAATTGTGCGTGTGTGTGACGCATGCGGGCGGTGGCACTGGGGCCTTAGGTGGAGCTCCCAATGGGGCCACGAAGCGTGTGAGGGGTGTCCCAAATGGGGCGGCGGCGCCATGCGAACTGCGCCACTGGGACCTTAGGTGGAACTCTCTGTGGGGCCATGAAGCGTGTGTGTGGTGTGCCCAAATGGGGCGGCGGCACCATGCGAACTAAGCCACTGGGACCTTAGGTGGGGCTCCCTATGGGGCCACGAAGCGTGCGAACGGTGTGCCAAAATAGGGCGGCGGCGCCATGCGGGCTGCGCCATTGGGATCTCAGGTGGAGCTCCTCATGGGGCCACGAAGCGTGTGATGTTGTGTGGCAGAAGGGAACGGTGGCGCCATGCGGGCTGCGCCAGTGGGACCGAATCTGGAGTTCCCTATGGGGCCACGGAACGTGTGAGGGGTGTGCCAAAATGGGGCGGCGGCGCCATGCGGGGTGCGCCAGTGCGACCTTATGTGGAGCTCCCGATGGGGCCACGGAGCGTGTGAGAGGTGTGCCAAAATGGGGCGGCGGCGCCATGCGGGCGGTGGCATTGGGGCCGTCGGTGGAACTCCCCATGGGGCCACGAAACGTATGAGGGGTGTACCAAAATGGGGCGGCGGCGAAAGGCGGGCGGTGTCACTGGGACCCTAGATGGAGTTTCCTATGGGGCCACGAAGCATGCGAGAGGTGTGCCAAAAATGGGGCGGCGGCGCCATGTGGGCGGTGGCACTGGGGGTTTCGGTGGACCCCCCTATGGGGGCCACGAAACGTGTGAGCGGTGTACCGAAACAGAGACATGCGGAGAGCAAAGGCAAGGAGGGGGAGGAGGGAGGGAGGGAGGAAGGGAAGAGGAGGATGAGGAGGAGAAGAGGAGGAGGAAGAGGAGGAGGAGGAGGAGGAGGCGGAGGAGGCGGAGGAGGAGGAGGAGGAGGCGGAGGAGGAGGAAGGGAGGAGGAAGGGAGGAGGAAGGGAGGAGGAAGGGAGGAGGAGGAGGAGGAGGAGAACGCGGGGCACCGTCTCTTCAAAACGAGGACCCAACACCACAGGATGGTTGGGAAATAGTCAGGAGACGATTGCTTGACTATTTGTCACATGGTTTGCTTTTTTCTTGGGTGCTGAAATTTATCGTCGAACATGTGCCTCTATGGGAATCCCCCTGCAGGGGGACATGCCCGACGTAAGATCAGTGAGGGGTCGAGGATTCGGGGGCGGCGAAGAGGGGGGTGATGACCAGGGGGGGGGGGATACCATGGCGGGGGCCGTGATATCTCCCCAGGCCTCATGGCGCCTCTTCTTATTTCAGCACGCCCCTGCCCCCCCCGCGGGCCGCGCACGTGCCCCGGGCCATGATCTGCGCCCCCTCCCTTTTTCGACGCCCCCCCCTCTTGGACGCCCCCCTCGTGGCCGCTCCCGAGGGATCGAGGGGGTCGAACCGCCGAGGTCGAGGATCAAGGAGTCTCGGATCGAGGAAGGAGGGGTCGGACTACGGTGTTCCAACCGAGTGTAGCCTTGATCACCAGAAAGATCTTCGAGCACCAACAGAGAGCTGACACGCGAGGGCTTTCACGTGTCGGGCCTTGGGAGGCGCTCGTCCGAAACTGTTTCGGCACTGCTTCGACACTGTTTCGGAGGGGAAAAAGCAGCCAGAGCTCGGCGCTGCCCCGACCCAGCAGCCCTTCGCAGGCAGAAGAGGGGTCGTCGGCAGGCCTGCGCTCGACCGCTGGCCCGTGGCGGGCCCGCCCAGTGGGTGGTCCGAGGTCCCCCGCCAGGACCTCACGGATGGGGTTCTCGGAAGGGGCTCGAGGGCCGAGGGGTCGAGGAACGAGGGGTCGAGGATCCACGGGTCGAAGGAACGACGGATCGAGGAGAGAGGGTGGAGGTTCGGGGAACAGGGCGTCGAGGATCGAGGGACGAGGGTCGAGGGTCGAGGTTCGAGGAGAGAGGGCCGATGAACGAGGATCGAGCAGCATCGAGGCTCGAGCATCGAGGGTCGCGGGTTGAGGATCGAGGCTTGCGGCTCGAGGGGCGATGGCAGAAGATCGATAGGGGGCATGGACGGTTCGAATGGGCCTTTCTCTGTATGAATCCTCTTGGGCCACGTCTCGGGCCCCAGGGCCGCCACACATAAAAATCTAGGATGGAAGTCTGTCCAGGATTGCCCCAGAAGGGTCCATGGATCGATTCGGAGCTGGTTTTGCAATGAGGCCGACGAGGCTCGAGGTTCAAGGCGCAATGAAGATTGTCCTCCTTCCCTCCTGCCATCTTGCACCTCTTTTCCCTCGCTTTCGCCGCGTCTTTCTTAGCTTCGGAATTCGGTGTCGGCCGCTTCTGGCCCCCCCTTGCCCAATTCGACCATGCCAGACTACAGGACACGAAGCACTTGAATTGGATAGCCAAAAAGGACACAGGGTGATGGTTCACCTCGAGTCGGAAAGACGCTGAAAGCGGTGACGTGAGGACTCGTCAAGCGCGCATAGCTGTTTTGCGCCGCGCACAACTAAGACATCGGGCGTCTTTCGAACCACGCGAGAGTAGACACGGCGCTGACCAAGCTGGAGGAGAATCTCAGTGCGCGACCGCTGCA